AATTCAGGAGAGGTCTGCTGCGCCATGTGTGTTGTTCCCTGTATGGCCAGGGATCAAACTCATGCTGCAGAGGCTGCGGATTGCTTCATAGTGCGGTGCTTAACCCCTTGTGCCACCAGGGAGGCCCTGTTTACTTTGTTTTTATTGAGGTTCGTCAGCTGTTTGTGATCAGTCCTTTATCATTAGTGTTGTGCGCAAACATTTTCTCCCAATTAGTGGGGTATCTCTTTGTTTCGGTTAATGTCTCTTTTTCTGTACAGAAGCTCTTTAATTTGATGTAGTCACAGCTGTTTATGCTTTCTTTCACTATCTTTGCTTTGGTGTCTTTAAAGGTGTTACTGAGATGTAGGTCATGTAGGTTTTTTTTTTTTAAAGATTTATTTATTTATGCATACAAGAACTGGGGCACAGGCCAGAGGTGTAGGGGATGAGAGGATTCATTGGAGTGGGGCGCATAACAGGCATACTGACTGAAATACGCTGCTGAGGGGAGCAGCGGGCAAGGCAGGAGAGGTCTGCTGCGCCATGTGGGTAGCTCCCTGGCAGGCCAGGGATCCAGCTCTGCTGCAGAGGCTGCAGATTGCTTCATAGTGCTGTGCTTAACTCCTTGCGCCACCAGGAAGGCCCAGTCATGTAGTGTTTTGCTGTATTTTCTTCTATATATTTTATGGCTTTAGGTCTTATGTCTATCTAGTTCTTTAATCCATTTTGAGTTGATTTTTGTGCATGGTGTGAGATAGTAGTCAAGCCTCATTTTTTTGCATGTAGTGGCCCAGTTTTCCCAGCACCATTTATTGAACAAATTTTCTTTGTTCCATTGCATAGTCTCTGCTCCTTTGTTGAAAATTAGTTGCCCGTAAATCTGTGGGTTTATTTCTGGGTTTTTTTATTCGATTCTATTGGTCTGTGTGTCTGTTCTTGTTCACACTCAAAATCTTTTAAAAAAAATTCCAACATTTTGGAAGCCTCCTGGGTGGTGCAGGGGGTTAAGTCTCAGCCCTATGAAGGTATCCTCAGCCACTGAAGGTCAAGTTCAAGTTCGATCCCCAGCCACAGAGCTGACCCACATGGCACAGCACACCTCTCCTGTTTTAGCTGCTGCTCCCCTCAGCAGTATATGTCAGTAGATTCGCCTGCGCTGCTTCCCATTCTGGCCCTGGTGAATCCTCTAACCTCTGGCCTACACCCTAGCTCTTGCATACATAAATAAATAAAACTTAAAAAAAATTCAACATCAAAATAAAAGGCAACTCTAGGGTTGGGAGGCAGTTTAGAGATTATATAGGTCAAACTCATTTTATTTATTTATTTATTTGTTTTTAAATATTTATTTATTTATACAAGAACTGGGATACAGACCAGAAGTGCAGGAGAGTGAAGGAATTCACCAGAGACAGAGTGGGGAGCAGAACAGGCAGATGGACCGAAGACACTGCTGAGGGGAGCAGTGGGCGTGGCAGGAGAGGCCTGCTGTGCCATGTGGGTTTCTCCCTGGCCAGCTGGGAATCGAACCTGCACTGCAGAGGCTGCAGACAGCTTCACAGCGCTGCGTTCAACCCACTGCGCCGCTGGGCAGGCCCCAAACTCATTTTATTAATGAAGAAATCATGATTGCCAGTTGAGTGTGGGGAGTTCTCTTTATCATGTAATATATTCACTAGGAACCTAGGAAAATCCTCTCGAAAACAAACCTTAGGTTGTAAGGGAATGCATTTCCAGGGCAGGAAGCACCTCCACAACACATGGGCACAAAGCCCTGCTTCCTCACCGATTCCAGTCAGATCCTAACCCACAGTGACCGTGCTGACTCCCCTGCTGGGTCTGGGGTCAATTCCATCCAGCAAAGCTTTACTCATATTTCCCGTTGGGTGGCAAGTGCTGTGCTAGGCCCAGCACCGAATGTGAACAGGACAGATAAGTTTCCTCCAATCAATCTCTCATTCCCATCTTTTCTCCACTGGTGGGGGTGGTAAGGAATGGGGATGTAAAAGAGGCTCTTGGCTGTCAGGAACAGAGACTCCTACCCTGGCTTGCAGGCCTTTCTGTCCCTATTGGAGTCACACCCTTTATCCTCCATCCAGATCATGGAACTCCCACCCTTTCTTGGTCCTGAGACAGATTTTCATCATCGTTGAGAATTTCATTCAGTACTTCCTTTAGGCAAGTATCTGGGAATAGGCGTAGAAAGGGATGGAACTGTGCCTTTTTTAATTCTGCTACTTCCCTCTGTGGCTCTCTCCTTCCCAATGTCACCAGCTTTCAGAATCTAGCCTTAGACTTCTTTCATTATTCACGACTCACATGGGTAAATGATAGACGGAGCCCAAGAAGCTACAGGTCTCTCTGGGCTCCTGGGTTCTCAGCCCCCCACCTTTGTACCATTAATTCATATCCACTGTCTCAAGGCATGAGATTTTCCCCAATCCTCAAGATAGCCTCATATATTACCATGCCCACTTCATAAGAAAACAGCATCACAAGGGTTAACTGACTTGAATAAGGCCACAAAATTGTAGCGGTCAACTGAATCCTTATCTACCTCCAAAACCTGCCTTCTTTTTCAGTCAGGTGTCTCTTTATTGTTGTGGACTCAATCTTGTCTTCCCCAAATTCCTAATGTTGAAACCCTAATGCCCAGTGTGACTGTATTTGGAGGCAGATTCTTTAAGGTGATTGAGGTTAAATGAACTCATGAGGCTGGAACCCAGACCCAGCAGGACTGGTATCCTTTTAACAAGAGGATGAGGCACCAGAGAAAAAGGCTGTGTGAGAACATGGAAAGAAACAGCTGTCTGCAAATCAGGTAGAAAGGCCTCACCAGAAACCAATGCTGCTGACACCTATCTTGGTCTTCTGTCCCCCATAACTATGAGAAAATAAATTTCTGTTGTTTAAGCTACTCAGTCTGTGGTGTTCTGCTATGGCAGCCCTAGCACACTAATCCTCTTCAAGTTTCCATAGAGCAACATGCATAAAACACTTCCAGAGCATAAGATTTATTCTAACAAAATACTTTTACACTAAAAAGGGCAGGGGCTAGTCCCAAGGCCAGCCTACAGCATGGGGAGCCACGCCTGGCACAGAGCCCCACCACTCTTGTTTTTGAACCAACTGTCCCAACACAGGAAATTGCTGCAGAGATGGACAGAGCGAGCAGTGTGGCTGTAATCTGTGAGATGGAACTCGTGCTGCCAACAAGCTCCCTGGCATTTGGTTGAACAGCAGGAAAAACCAGTGGCAGCCAGCAGAACTTCGGAAGGAATACTAGGCTTATCCCATCTTCCTAAATGCCACAACATTGATTATAAGATCTAATCTTACTAATCTTCCATTCTCATGATAATCTTGCAAAGTAGTTCCCATTTTCAGGTGAGAGGACCCAAGGGCACAGAGGGTAAGGTAACTTATCCAGAGTCCTCTGGCTGTAGTAAGCTGGGACTTGAACACAGGTCTGATCCCAGGCCCGTTTCCCTACCTTATTGCTAACATCTTGCTGCCTTCCATCAGCTGATGGGTAGATGTAATCCTCTTTTTTTTTTTTTTTTTTTTATAGAGGCATGTTTTTATTTATTTATTTATTATATTTGTTTGTTTTGTTTATACATGCACTGGGTACAGTCAGAAGCGCAGGAGGGTGAGAGAATTCACCAGAGCCAGAGCGGGGAGCAGAGCAGGCAGAAGGGCTGAAGTACACTGCTGAGGGGAGCAGCGGGCGGCAGGAGAGGTCTGCGCACCATGTGGGATCCTCCTCCGGTGGCCGGGGAGCAGCCGGGGATCGAACCGGCGCCGCAGAGGCCGCGGGCAGCTTCGCAACCCAGCGCTCAACCGCTGCGCCACCGGGGAGGCCCAGATGTAATCCTCTTGAGGGAATACAGCTGGAATTTCATATCATCTTCGTAGTATTCTCACCAAAATTGCTTAAGTGGATTTTTAACAACCAAACATAAATTGCAGAACACTCTACAATACCACCAGCCTGGCCTCTTCAGAAAAATTTTATGCCAAACTTCTAGAAGCATACTAACAGTATTGTGGCATAGGGACAGTATTAATATATAGGACGAGAAAGTCCTTATTCTTAGATGTATGTAGGTGTCATGTCTGCAACTTTCTCAAATGGTTGAGGAAAAAAGTGTGTATTATTAGGTATAAAACATGTGGCAAACCATTAATTGGTTTGAAATATTTGGGTTATGAGTTAATTCCATGATCGTGAACCTCAGATCTTATTTACAGTAAAAGCCATCATGTATGTTCCATAGCAGATTTTTTTTTTTTTGAAAACGAAAAGTAGAGCGAGAAAGAGACTTCAGTTAGGGTAGAAGCCCCAACCACTAGCAATCTATGGAAACATCCTCTTTTCTAAACTGTGAATACTGATTGTCTACTTTATTTAATGGAGCCAGAACCATCAAGCTAGAAGATACACCTATTTTCTCTAGCCCAGTAAACCCAGTCTGACTAACGGGAGGGCAGAGGAGAGTGTGAGAAGGGGAAGCGTAGACAGCATTTGATGGGAGCAAGAAATTTACCAGTAAGATTTCCCTACTCGGGGCCTCCCCTGGTGGCGCAGCGGTTGAGCGCTGGGCTGCGAGGCTGCCCGCAGCCTCTGCAGCGCCAGTTTGTTCCCTGGCCTCCGGCGAGGGTCCCACACACACACATACACAAAAAAGATTTCCCTACTCATCTGGGGAGATTGGCCGCCAAAGCACATCCTCAGGACCAGCTCAATGGCCAATTTTAGACTTTATTTCACCTGTTTAGGGAAGATGATCTGCTTCTACAGATAACCAATCCCTTACAACCAGACTGTGTGATTAGATGATTATTAACCAGAGCACCCAAATATGCTTATGTAGCTCACTCTCATGTCAGATGGTTACCAGATAATCAAAGAGGTTCTCACACCTATAATGGCAACAAAGCCACACCGTGGACACCATGACAGCGGAGCGGATCATCTTCCGCTTCGCGGTGCAAACACAAGGAACAATACCTGGTTTCACTTCAAATACATTTCCCTTTTATTAAAGTTCAAATCACCATTACATGGTTCGGAACTCTAAAGGAAAACGTGTTGAATAAGGTAATATGTTATCTTCAGCATTTCCAGGTGACTGTTTACATCAAGTAGCAGTATGAAGTTCTTGGGAAGCCCATCTGTAAGAGAAAACATGAAGATTTAACCATGAAATAATAATGAAAAGGTAGAAATCTTTTCTAAAAGATTCTTTAGAGCAACAGCCCAAAGCAATCACTGGCTCTGTAAGGCATTTTCTGCTCTTATATGGCTACAGGGTCTGTGGCTTTTTTGTTATTTATACCCCTGGTTAAGTACTGGGGTAGTCTTCTAAAAGAAAATAAGTACTTGCCTTTTAAAAATAATTTCTAGAGAAATATAATGATACTACAGTCTATATATCCTATATAACAAAGATCTGGGTTCCTTGGAAAAATAACTGATAAAGTGAAAATGTAGCCCAAGTGTTTAAAGAGCCTCTTAAGAGTCCATTATGGGGGGCCTCCCAGGTGGTGCAAGGGGTTAAGCGTCAGCACTATGAAGCAATCCGCAGCTATGCAGCACAAGTTTGATCCTGGTCAGGAAGCGCCAGGGAGCTACCCACATGGCGCAGCAGACCTCTCCTGTCTCGCCAGCTGCTCCCCTCAGCAGTGTATTTCGGTCAATCCGCCTGTGCTGCTCCCCACTGTCTCTGGTGAATCCTCTCACCCTCCTGCACCTCAGGTCTGTACCCCAGTTCTTGTATACATAAATACATCTTAAAAAAAAAAAAAAAAGTCCATTATAGAATATGAACCACACAAGAGCTTCAAAAATATAACTAGGAAAACCTCTATTCTGAATACCTAGTTTCCTTGAAGTACTCACAGGAATCTTGCACACACGCACACACACACGCACGCACCATATATTACAAAGATGAACTTTCCGTCCCCAGGGATGTGATGGCAGTAGTGTGTGTACTACCGCTAGTAACCTGCTTATTTCCTCAGAGGTCCAGCACCTTGTCTAAAACCCAGGAATGAGTTGACGGAAACTAAGTTCATATTCCTGTTCAACTCCAATCTGAAGTTAGAGGTATAGGTTTTTTAATTTAGATAGAAAAACTTTTAAAAAGTTTTTAAAAGTTCTTTCAGGAAGTAAGAAACTTCTTACTTTCAGGAAGCGACTCCTCTAAGCCTCTCATTATATACCTCTGCGAAATACAAGCATGGCCTTAGTAAGTGCATCAGTACCAAAATGCCTGTATAAAGTATGTAATGTAGTAAGAGCCATGGATTTTGGAGGCAGACTGCTTGGGTTCAAATGTGGGTTCCACCATCAGTTGTATGGCCTTTGATAGGATGCCTCTTGTTACCTCATCAGTAAAATGGGGATGCTTATAACAATAGTAACTTATTTATGGGGATTAAATGAGTTAATATTTATAGAACACTTAAATAATACCTGGTACATAGTAAAAGCTATATTCACTCTACGTATTTATTAAATAAAAATGAATTACTGCTTATATATTTCCTGTTTTACAAAGGATTTTCTGCACTTTGCTCATCATAATTGGGGCTGCTTTTATTGCCCAATCTGTCTTTTCATAGAGAATAAGATATCAAATGAGCTTTCATTATTAGTGAATATTTACTTGGCTATTCATTTTTAATTCTGCCACACAAAAACAAAGGCACTGAATAAAACACTGCTGTTAAAAATAAACAGATGTTGGGGCCTCCCTGGTGGCGCAAGGGGTTAAACACTGCAACTATGAAGCAGTCCGCAGCCTCTGCACCACAAGTTCGATCTCCGGCCGGCCAGGGAGCAACCCACATGGCGCAGCAGACCTCTCCTGACTCGCTTGCTGCTCCCCTCAGCAGTATTTCAGTCAGTTTGTCTGTTCTGCTCCGCACTCTGTCTCTGGTGAATTCTCTCACCTTCTGTACCTCTGGTCTACACCCCAGATCTTATATGCATAAAAATAAATAAATCTTTAAAAAATAAAAATAAACAGACATTTAAAAAAATGTATAAAAAGCATGCATACTGAATACCTTGTATACAGTGGATAACCATTAGGCTAGGGGAGGCTAATGGGTTAGAATTAGGAAAAGGTACACAGAAATCTTCAATTCTGTGAAACCGGTCATTTCATGGGGTGGGAGGGAACTAAAGCTAATATGTGGCAAAATAATACCTGAAAATCTGGGTGTAGTTACATGTATTCTCTATGCTATTCTCTTTTTTAAATTTTTATTTTTTAAAGATTTATTTATACAAGAACTGGGGTACAGGCCAGAGGCACGGAAGGGTGAGAGAATTCACCAGAGACAGAAAAGGGAATAGAATGGGTAGACAGACCAAAGTACACTGCTGAGGGGAGCAGCGGGCGAGACAGTAGAGGTCTGCCCGTGCCATGTGGTTATCTCCCTGGCTGGCAGGGATCAACCCTCACTGCAGAGTCTGCGGACAGCTTCACAGCGTTGCGCTCAATCCGCTGCGCCACCGGAGAGGTCCACTATGCTATTCTTTATGCTTAAACTACCTCATAAAGATTTTTAATGAAGGAGGCATTAACTTGCCTTTATACTAGGCAAGTAAAAGAACAATTCTAATCTTAAACTCTCTAAATTTGGTACTCTCTAAAATTGGTACTCTCTAAATTTCTAAGATCACATCCTCTAACAAGGGTAGTAAAAGGTTTTGTTCTGAGAACAATGAAATGTCACTCACTCCTCCCTGGAGTGTTTCCTGCCTCATTCAGGGCTGCGTCGCTTACCCATGGGGTTCACACTCTGTCAAGGCCCAGTTCCTCTGGAGTGGAGATTCCTAGTTCATTTAAAGTTGGTCTAAGTTCCTGGATGACATAGGGGTAGATTTCCTTATGCGGTCCTGCTTTGTCCTAATTGAAAAGAAAACATTTGTGCTCAGTTCTCTGAAAAGTCGTGTTGTGTCTATTAACAAAACTAGCTTGAAAATGTTTCAGGCATACGCAGAGGCTGGCGGCACAAGGTATCAGTCATCTACTTCTAGTTAGTACAGGTGTTCAACAGAGAACTGTTCCAGGCTGGGTTTTAAAATACCTTGAGACTATCTAAGACAGTGAGACTAAACCAAGGGAAAACATTTTTAAGCTCTGAGTTACTGGGAATAAAATGGTGATGACAGAATCCCGGGAAGGTGATAAACATGCCCAGCAGGCAACACGAATCATTAAATTAACACAGGAAAAGCTTTTAATTTACCTCCAACTGAAGACCCTAACCGGATTAACCGCTGGACTTGAATGAATGGCCTACAGAACCCCTCATTATCTCACCCAGTGTAGACAGAGAAATGTCACACTCCCCCCCCCCCACCCCGGCAGACCAGAATATCTTCAGGGAGAGCTACTCTGAGAGAACATTTATGCCCAGAGCAAGATTCATGAGGCTTGCCAGAACCTGTAATCATATCCATATTGGCGTAAGATTCCTCAGGGCCAAATATTAAAAAGACACGGACTAGGGCCTCCCCCGTGGCGCAGCGGTTGAGCGCTGGGTTGCGAAGCTGGCCGCAGCCTCTGCAGCACCGGTTCGATCCCCGGCTGCTCCCCCGCCACTGGAGGAGGGTCCCACATGGGGCGCAGACCTCTCCTGCCGCCCGCTGCTCCCCTCAGCAGTGTACTTCAGTCCATCTGCCTGCTCTGCTCCCCGCTCTAACTCTGGTGAATTCTCTCACCCTCCCGCGCTTCTGACTGTAACCAATGCTTGTATAAATAAATAAATAAACAAACAAAAAAAAATTTAAAAAAAAAAAAAAAAGACACGGACTAAAAAAATATAAACTGCTATTCTTCCCCCTTTAACAAATTCTACGTTGGCCTAACTGAATATTTTTTAATGATAAAATTTTTGCTTAAAAAGCAACATATTTATGGGCCTCCCCTGGTGGCGCAGCGGTTGAGCGCTGGGTTGTGAAGCTGCCCGCAGCCTCTGCAGCACTGGTTCGATCCCCGGCTGCTCCCCGGCCACCGGAGGAGGGTCCCGCATGGCGCGCAGACCTCTCCTGCCACCCGCTGCTCCCCTCAGCAGTGTACTTCGGTCCTTCTGCCTGCTCTGCTCCCTGCTCTGGCTCTGGTGAATTCTCTCACCCTCCCGCACTTCTGACTGTACCCAGTGCTTGTAAAATAAATAAATAAATCTTAAAAAAAAAAAAAAAAAAAAAGCAACATATTTATTACAAGAAAAGACATAAAACTATAATGAAACAAGAGGAAGATTAAGTATATATCCTCCTACATTTTGATCTATCTTTTTTTTTTTAATTATTTTATTTTTTTTTTTTTTATAGAGGCATGCTTTATTTATTTGTTTTGCTGGTTTCTTTGTTTGTTTTGTTTATACATGCACTGGGTACAGTCAGAAGCGCGGGAGGGTGAGAGAATTCACCAGAGCCAGAGCGGGGAGCAGAGCAGGCAGAAGGACCGAAGTACACTGCTGAGGGGAGCAGCGGGCGGCAGGAGAGGTCCGCGCGCCATGTGGGACCCTCCTCCGGTGGCCGGGGAGCAGCCGGGGATCGAACCGGCGCCACAGAGGCCGCGCGCAGCCTCGCAACCCAGCGCTCAACCGCTGCGCCACCGGGGAGGCCCTTGATCTATCTTTTTGATAAAACTGAGGTCACACAATTACTGAATGGTCTCACTCATTTGTGGAATATAAATAACCAAAGAAAACAAACTGGCAAAATACAACAAAAATAACTCAAACTCTGAAAATTAGAGCGGTTAGCAGAGGAGCTGAGCGAGAAGGGAGGAGAGAGATGTGACAATATACTGGACTAGAGCTCTGGTAGATGACGCAAGTGCATATTTTGAGATGTGTATTCCCAAAGTTAGGTAGTTATATAAATGAATAGCAAATCAATAAAATGTGAAAATGTGTTCACACCAAAAAATGTTCCATAATTTTCTTTAGCTAATATATTGTGAATATGTTTAATGTTATTTTCTACCACATTAATAGACATATAATAACCTCTTCTGAGAAGGTCTAACTTAAGAAACCACTAACCACATTTAACTTCCTATGAAAAATAGCACAAAGAAAAATTGTAGTTAGACATTTGTACTGTCTTAATTATTTAATTAAGATAAATTCTCAAATGGAATTGAACAAAAGGGTATCAAGCACAATTTTTAAGGCCTGGGATAATCCTGCCACACTTCTTTCAGAAGTATTGTATTTGCAATTTACATTTTCTCTAGCTATAGAACTCATTTTAGGTATTTTAATAAATTCAAAAACATAACATGTTGATTCCTGACCAACAGCCCAGCCATTTGCAGAACAACTTCAGCTGTCACCTCACTGACCTTAACGACTTCTAGGATGCGAACTGCACTGGCAAAATCATTTAACCGTCTGCAGGCCCGCAAAGCAGCATCGATGATTTTGGGTTCTGGAACCAGATCATAGCCAACAAGTGTGTTCATTCCTGTTAAGTTAAAAAGAGGGGGTCATATCAACCTGAAACAGCCTCACTCAAATTACAATTTAGTTGTATTTTTACTGAACCACAGATAATGTGACCTTATCTGAGTCCCTCTACTCTTCTCAATAAAGTTCGAGAATGGGCCTACCTGGTGGCGCAAGGGTTTAAGCCCCAGCACTGTGAATCTATCCATAGCCTCTGCAGTACAGAGTTTAATCCCGGGCCAGAGAGCTGACCCACATGGTGCAGCAGACCTCTCCTGTCTCACCCGCTGCTCCCCTCAGCAGTGTATTTCAGTAGATCGCCTGCTCTGCTTCCCATTCTGTCCCTGGTGAATCCTCTCATCCCTGTACCTCTTGCCTACATCCCAGCTCTTGTATGCATAGATATATAAAGTTCGAGAATCTACCTCCAACAAATTCTAGAGGATAGATCACAGTACATCTTTCACAGTGAATTAGTGGAGAACCATGCATGCATATCGAAGAAGTAAAAACCAAAGAGTTCTTTAAAAAAAAAAAAAAAAAGATTCATTTATTAATTAATTTATGCATACAAGAACTAGGGTACAGGCCAGAGATGCAGGCGGGTGAGAGGATTCACCAGAGACAGAGTGGGGAACAGAACAGGCAGACGGACTGAAATACACACAGAAGGGAGGAGCGGGAGGGAAAGGAGAGGTCTGCTGCACCATGTGGGCTGCTCCCTGGCCGTGCTGCAGAGGCTGTGGACTGCATCATAGTGCGGTACTTAACCCTTTGCACCAACAGGGAGGACCCCCAAAGAGTTTTCTTAAATGCACACTACTTTCATTAACAATTAGGTGGCTTCTTTTCAAGAGTCATTCTCAACAAACATCTTTTTAACAGTGCAATGGACATTATTTCAATTGCCTTAAAATAGATTTGAATAAAAAAATAAACTAAAAACAGAGAGAGAAGCTTCAGGAAGAGTTAATGGAGCCCAAACAGGGCATTAAGGAGCTGCTGCAGAAACACGTGTGCAGGGCCTCAGAAACAGCCAACCAGAAGACCACTGGCATGCTTGCTTTCAGTGCTGCACAAAATTACACAACAACACAAAATTGAAGATTCTTGTACTTGAAATGCTGAACTGCTGTTCTTTTCATTACCTCTACTAAAGATTATTTAATAAGAACTTCCTGGGTTGCAGCAAAATCGAGTCGTCATGTTTCTGCAGAGAAGTCAGACGCACTTAGGCTTCTTTTATTTTTTTTATTTTTTAATTTTTGTGTGTGTGGGACCCTCGCCGGCGGCCAGGGAACTGCTGTACCACCAGGGGAGGCCCACTTTTATTTATTTTTAAATAAACAAAGGCCACCAGTGATGACAATGTTAGAATATAGCCAGAGTCAAAGACACTGAATTCTTGATCTGAGATAAACTGCCCTACACTTAAATTAGTTATCTACTAGTCTAACCACTAAGTCAGTTATCATTAATGTTAAGTGCCTATCTACAGATTCAGGAAAAAAGTTCCGCTTACTTACACTGGATGTCTACTCAGAGCAAGACAAATCACGACAGTATGAGTAACAAAGAACCCAAACCATCACCAAGGGAGAGAACCAAATGGCTACCTGCAGGCACAAAACTGCTACCTCTTGTTCATCTCAATCTTTCATTTTGTCTGCATTTTATGCAAGGAATAAAATATCAATTGTGCGTGCTTTACAGGAAACACTGACTATGTAAGGGATGAACTTTCCTAACTATAAGTTCCTTGACAGTTTACACAAGGCATGTTTTCAAACTGGTTGCATTACACAAAAAGTAAAGACTATAAAGAAGTTCATATTTCTGTATCCAAATAGATAAACATGCCTATGTTCCAATTACCTTTACGCAATTCCCAAGCATCAATATCCGGCTTATTGAAGTATGTCACCCAGCGAGCATCAAACTCCTCATCTGTCTCGTGTGACCCATGGGCGTAGCAGCGAACTGACTGGACAGCTATAAGGGAGAAAGAGCAATAACGTCAGTGTACAGTGTAGGACCTGACATATACTGTCACTGCATTAAGGTTTTGTTTTTTCTTTTTCACGTTGTGTAAAAAATACATAAAACAAAAATTTCCCATCTTAACCAATTTTAAGTGTATAAGCTCAGTGGCATTAAATACATTCAACACATTAAGAATCAACTATACAGGGCCTCCCCTAGTGGCGCAGTGGTTGAGCACTGGGCTGTGAAGCTGCCCGCAGCCTCTGCAGTGTTGGTTCGATCCCCAGCCGCCGGCGAGGGTCCCACATGGCGCGCAGACCTCTCCTGCCGCCCGCTGCTCCCCTCAGCAGTGTACTTCGGTCCTTCTGCCTGTTCTGCTCCCCGCTCTGGCTCTGGTGAATTCTCTTGCCCTCCCACGCTTCTGACTGTACCCAGTGCTTGTATAAATAAATAAATAAATCTTTAGGCATGATTTTTTTCTCATTTAAGGTTTGTTTTTTTTAAAAGATAGATTTATTTATTTATTTATACAAGCACTGGTACAGTCAGAAGCGTGGGAGGGTGAGAGAATTCACCAGAGCCAGAGTGGGGAGCAGAGCAGGCAGAAGAGGTCTGCGCGCCATGCGGGACCCTCCTCCGGTGGCCGGGGAGGAGCAGCCGGGGATCGAACCACAGGCTGCGGGCAGCTTTGCAACCCAGCGCTCAACCGCTGCACCACCGGGGAGGCCCCCAACATATTTTCTTGATACTTTTTTTAAATCTTATGTTCTCCATTATATTCCAAAATAAATTGTACACTGTGACACAGCAATGTTGTTTTATCCAACTAGTGTCCTCTTTCACCTGAAATTCCGATAAATCACTAAGGAGCAATATGACCTCTACTTATATTAAAAAACACTCTTTTATAGATTTAAGAAGTGAATTTTTTAATACAACATTGTCAAGAAAAGAGGATACACTTAGCATTCAGCTCCCAATTAATATACCCTTTGTGGTACCACGTAAAAAAATCTTTTGAATTTTGCTTTCTGCCTGTCAAACTGAGAGTTAGGAATTTAGATTATTTCTAAACAATCTGTGTAGGGGCAGGAGGAAGAAATTTTATCTTTAGATTTTTCAAGGCAACAGACCCTAGTGTTTATATGCTTCTAGGCTCTTCACTCTCCTACTGTCTTACCCTGGGAAAATTAACTCAAGTTTTATTTTCTTTACCTGTAAAATAGCGATACCACTACCTTAACAGATTATGACAATCAAAAATGAAGGCAGATAACACTTTGCACAGGGCTTAGCACCTTGTAGATATGCAATACATAGTAGCTATAAATAATCCTTATCTAAAAATGCCTTAACTGATCTTCAATTATGGAAATCATAATTTATAATTTTATCTAGGTATTTGAAGAAATAAAAGCTTCAAATTACATTTCCTGTTATAGAAATTAGAAAAGCTTAGTATCATTTCTAGTTATTTTGAAAGACAATGTAAATAATAAAACAAAACCTGTCTAGAAACCTTGGCTACAGTTCTATAGGGATCATTAATGCACTAAGTGGGATGAGAAAGAGGGGAGAAAAAAAGAAAAGATGAAGATGACAAGCCAGTTCTGGAGACAGACTGTCTCCTCTACATCAAGTAAAATGATTCTTGTTTAAATTATCATGAATCTATAGCAAAATACCTCCAATTACTTTCAGAGAATCACAGCACAAATACCGTTTTCCCCAGGGACCTGAATTATCTCCACAATTCAAGCCCATAATGAAATGGGACAGGTAGATAAATGGAATTGGATAATCTTTAATTTCTATGACAAGAAAAAATGGCTCCCTGGATCCAAATGCATTTGGTAAGTGCAAACATTTAATCAAAACTAGCTCTCAGAGAATGAGTGCACACATTTAACTCTTTGCACTCCGAACCATTTTACGATATTTTGATTTAATTTCTTGTGCCATTTCAAGATAAAACTTCAGGGAAACATGCATGTCTCAAAAAGTTGCGTTGAAATAACCTCAATTCCCTGTAATCACTAATAAATTGCAATGTCCCCTGAGAGGGGACAGCGGAGTGCAAAGGATTAATATATCAGAAAGCACAGATCACAACCACCCTCTAACCCACTGTTACCAAACACTTACAAGGTACCCTTTTCCAAAACTGAAGCTATACCCAGCTGATTAAAGCGCAAGTGTGAATGAAATGGTACAATCACTTTGGAAGACTGTTTAGCAGTTTCTTATCAATTTAAACACACCTACCGTATCACCCAATAGTTCAACTTCTCAACTTCTAAGTATTGTATTTACCCCCCAAAAGGTGAGATATATGTGTTCCCTCCCAGAGGTAATTATTAAGTTGATTTTTCCTACCACTGAGGTAACTAATTCCTTTTGTTCACTGCTGATTTGACTAGGTGCATGGCAGCTTTGTTTTGTTTTCTAACTCTGAAAAAGGTTATCAGCAACTGCAAATCCAAGCCAAGGAGATTAATGGATCACCTTCAATGATCTGTTCACCTTCCTTTTGGAAGTCCTAAAAAAAACTTCTGAAATAACTATTTAGAATACCAAGCATGCACTTGGAACACACATCCCTTCCACAAGGGCAAAAACAGAATCTCCAACGTGGTTTAAATTATAGTTCTAATTCCAGTAGTGGGTGTATAACAGGTAGTGCCCAGGAAAAGGGGAACCTCCAAGTTCCCTGCCCCACCCAAAGGAGAGTGGAGCTGAGCAGGAAGGAGCAGAGGAGACTGGGGAAGGCAGCAGGATGGAGTCAGAAGGAGACCTGGAGGAGGCACATGGAGCCGAGAGACACGAGAAGAAACTGCGCTTGCCTTTTGGTTCTGGACTGGGTGACACAGATGTGGGTGAGAGACTGTGAAGAGGTTAACAATAGCAGCTTTTCTCTTGATTTTGATTTTGCTCTTTTCCTCCCAGACTTGTCTGGTTGTTTCTGACCCTTTTCTGTGCGTCCCCACTGGAAGGTGCTTTAGACTTGGGGCAGGCTTTCAGGCCTTGCTCTGGGCCAATCCCGTTTGGGTGGACTTTTACCCAGAAGGGACGGGTAACTTTGGGTGCTTGATTTAGAAACTATATTCTTTGTCTTTTCTGTATTGTTCCCTCGTGGTATTAAAGTATTGTGTTGATGGGGCAGATGGCAAAACCTATTTAGAGCAGGCAAGTTTGGGGGCTCTGGGATGTCCCTCTCCCTGCCCTGTATTAGGTAGAGCAGGATCTAATCTCCTAGTTATGGACATGCCCCCAATATGCTGAACATTTTGATTTTTAGGTATATAGTATTCTTTCTCCCACACCCACCCTACTTAAGTACATACAGCATTTCCACCTAGATTTGAGACTTGTAAGGCAAACTAAGTCAGAAAAAATTACTCAGTGCTTTTATACAACCTGAAGGTTCCAGAGAAGGAAAAGGGAAGCAGCAGTAAAAAAAAAAAAAAAAAAAAAAAAAAAAAAAAAAAAAAACCAACCAAACAAACCAGAACATTTCTACAGCCTCAATGTAAAAAAAAAATTTCTAACACTGCTTTATGGGAATGTTAAAAAAAGGGGGGGAGGGGTCTTTTTTGGGAAACATTTTAAGGGGTTTATTAATCCCTCTGGTTTAAATTAAGCCAGATAGCTTTTCACTTACTAACTAATCAGTTCAGAAAATGTACAAAGTGGTGGTGGTAATTCTAAAATTAAGGGGAAAAAATAAATGATGTTGAGGGCTCACAACAAGCTCAAAAGCAATTAGTAAGATGCATGATTCAGCCATGAACCGTGGGGCCCAAAGATTGGAAATCTAGAAATGTGGAGTGATGCAGAAAAGGTGGGAAGGTACTAAAAAGTGCTATTAAATTCAGCCCAGCACAAGAAAGGAAAAGAGGAAACTCCTCCTACCCTTCCCCAGATATCTAGGGAAGAATGTAGGAGTTAGGATTGTGTAGGTTTTAAAGGTTGACTGGAGAATCTTAACCATTATTGTAAAGGTTTTAATTATCTAATTCAGAATCTATTGGAAAACAATTCTGTTTCAGGTTGGAGACTGAACCAAAGGTGGAATTAGGTTGCTGCTTCCTGGAACCAACGGGAGTCCTCTCAAGCTAAACCCCCCAGAGCTCTATTTCAAGTACATCCGCATTTGACCTTGGATAGCCTCATCCTAGAACCGTAATCCCTCTGATTGCATAATCCCCTCAGCCTGGTACAGGAAACAACCCCAAATTATAAAATGCAAAAATGAAATGCCTGTAATAAAGCAAATACGTATTAAACATTTGTGCCAGGCAAGGTGCTAAAGGTTACATTATCTCACTTAAACCTCGCAACTACCAAGTATTATGCTGCTTTTAGAGAATGAGGTATATGAGTCTTAAGGTTAACATGTCCAAGGTCACAGTGCTAGAAAATAGCTGACACAATTGTAGACAATACTGCGCCGCCTTGTGGAAACCTTTAGGTCTACAGGCCAGAAATCTAAAGTCAGGCTTTTTAGGACTTAAGCTCAAGGGGAACAGAACATCTAGAAGAGAAACCACCATGTTTAAAGAAATTAAGGAACCCCCTTATAAGCTACAATTTGTCAAAACCTCTGCCACTGCGCCAACCTATCACAAAATGCAGCCCTTCTTTTGAACAGGTCAGAAATGTGAATATATGAAAAGAGTAAATTAGTATTTGCTATCTTAGCACTTAGATAAGGAAACAAAACAGAAAAACATAAAATTTGACAAACATCAGGTCGGATCAAAAATAACTATGGCTAAAAGGCACAGAAAAGAGCTACACGCTGGTAAAGGAGTCAGTTTCCAAGAAGGGCCTCCTTCCCTCTTCCCCAGAATGAGACGTCGTGGGCTCTGAAGGGCACCCAGGCTCACCGCTCTAAGAGACGGAAGGTGAAGTCTAAAGGGAATGAAAGGAAACACAGCCTTGAGTGCTGAAAGGTCTAGGGTTCCTGGCTCAAAACAGCCAGGAACACCACCCGACTAGTTCTGAGTTTCCAAGCTCAGGCTAAAGCACAGACGCCTGGGGGCGAAACCGCACGAAGCAGCATTTCCTACCAATAAGGCGCAAAGAGCAGGTACAGCGCCAGCGTCCGGCGCCAGGCCAAAGTCTCCAGAGCGCAGACGAGGCCGGCGGCGCATCTCAGCCCGGCGGGCGGGCGCGGGGCCGGGGCCAAGCGAGCGTCCCCGGACGTGCCTGAGCCGAGCCCGCGGCGCCCGGCCCTCGGGCGGCCACACTCCTGCCCCCGGGGCCCGGGCCCCGCACGCCGCCCGGCCGGGCCTGGAGGACGGGCCGCGGGGGCAGCGGCCGGGGGCACAGGGCGCGGGCCGCTCCCCTGGAGCAGGTGGCTCCCGGAGCCAGAGGGCGGCGGCGCGGGCGCGTCAATGTCACCTTCGCCGCGGGCCGGGGCGGCCGCTCGCGTGAGGCGGCCGCGGGGTCGGCGCGGGGTCGCGGCCCGGGGCCGGGGGCGGCGGCGCGGGAGGCGGGCTGCCCCCCGGGGGCCCCAGGCCGGCCCACACCTCCCGCCCGCGCGGCCCGCCAGGAAGCCGCCGGGGCCCGGGAGCCGCGCCCCCGCGAGCCGAGGCCGGGCGGGACGGCCGGCGGCCCCGGGTAGGCCGCGGGCGAGCCTGCCCTCGAGTGCGGCGGCGCCCAGGTCACCGCAAGGACGCGCGGGCGCGGGCCGCGGCAGGCGGGGGCCTTACCGGCGGCGGGGCCGGGGGCCGGCGCGGCGAGCCGGAGGCCTCCAGGGCCGGCCCGGGCGGCGGCGGCGGCGGCGCAGCGGCGGAGAGCAGCGCCGAGCATGACGGCGATGGCGGCTCGCGGGCTGAGGTGCAGAGGCGCCGGGGTGCGCTCGCCGGCAGCAACGGGCTCGCGGGGGCGGGGCCTACGCGCCGCCGCACGGGGGCGGGGCTTGAGGGCCCGCCCCCTGCGGCGCCCGCGTCCGGGCGGAAGGGGCTTCGCGCGGGCGTCTACGGCGGCTCGCTGAGGACACGCCGTGCCCCGCCGAGCGCCGCCCGCGCACGCGTCCCAAGAGGCGGCGGCCAGTGCGCGGAGGGCGCGAGGGTCAGGCCGGTTGCGTGTGGGCACAAGCCCGCTCAGGAGGCGACTCCATCGTCGCCGAAAGGGAAGGATTGCAGTAATAAAGACAAAATACAACCAAAACACTTTTGCTTGCCCCCTTTCTGCCGTTTGAGCCTAAAATAAAAACGCGTGGGGAAAACTGCTTGCGCGGGAGAGGCTGTGGTAACGCTCTGCAGAGCACACACCCGCACGAGCATTAACAAAATGAGTCTAAGGACTTCACCTTACAGATAAAGAGGTTGAGCAGATGCTGTAGGCAATAGAGACCTTTTCTGCCAAATCCCCAGGACTTAGGTGGGTATTTCTTGCTGCCCACGCCCAGTCCTCACAGGAAGGTGCCCAGTCAGGCCGTCTCAAATGGGCTTAAGTGGAAAGGTTCCTTTTTTAAAGATTTATTTATATATGCATACAGGAGCTGGGGTGCAGGCCAGAGATGAGGAGGGGCCAGAGTGTGGGGGGTGAGAGGTTTCACCAGAGACAGAGCTGGGAACAGAACAGGCAGACTGACGAAGTACACTGCTGAGGGGAGCAGCGGGCGCGGCAGGAGAGGTCTGCTGCGCCATGTGGGTAGCTCCCTGGCCTGCCAGGGATCGGGGATCAAACCCATGCTCCAGAGGCCTGGGATTGCTTCATAGTGCGGTGCGCAACTCCTTGTGCCACCAGGGAGGCCCTGAAAAGTTTCTGGTTGTTTTTTTTTTTTTTTAAAGATTTATTTATTTATACAAGAACCGGGGTACAGGCCAGAAGCACGGGAGAGTGAGAGGATCCACCAGAGCCAGAGCGGGGAACAGAACAGGCAGACTGATGAAATACACTGCTGAGGGGAGCAGGGGGCAAGACAGGAGAGGTCTGCTGAGCCATGTGGGACCCTCCCCTGCCTGTTCCAACCCGCGCTGCAGAGGCTGCAGGACAGCTTCACAGTGCGGCTCTCAACCGCCTGTGCCACAAGGGAGGCCCCAATCTGACTTCACTGATTGTCCTGCCTTTGAGCTCCTGGAGTTTGAGCTCCTTTGAGCTCCTTTGAGCTCCATGACTGAATGTCGCTGCCACCGGGAGTTAAGGTGACAGTCTCTTTGTCTTAGGTATTCCTTATTCTCTAACCCTGACTCACCAAGGACAGAAAAGATGTACACTGCACGTCAGCATCTGCCCTTCTTTTTTCTCCCTAGCAGTGTAGCTTTAGGGGTTATGAACTGGTTGGGTAAAGGATAAAAATAAAACAAAAAACCCCAACTTTCTTTTCAAAGCACCTGCCCTCATCGCCCATCAACCTAATGAAAGGACATCCCAGGAAGCTTTGACCTCACCTCCTTGAGTTCAATGAGTATCTCCAAGAGCTGGAAGCACAGGATGAGTTGAGCACTTCCATATGAGGAAATTGGGGTACTATATGGCAACTAAATCCTGACTGGTATCTCTGCTGTCAGTCTCTCCACTTTGCCTATAGTGACTGATATTGTGTAGTTGAGTTACTGTGTTTTAATTTTTTTAGATTTATTTATTTATATATACAAGAGCTGGGGTGTAAGCTAGAGGTGGGGGTGGTGAGAGGATTTACCAGAGACAGAGTGGGGAGCAGAACAGGCAGATCTACTGAAATATACTGCTGAGGGGAGCAGCGGCCACACAGGAGATGTCTGCTGCGCCATATGGGTCATCTCCATTGGCTGGGGATCAAACCTGTGCTGCAGTGCCTGCTGATACCTTCAGAGTGCTGAGACTTAACCTGCCATGTGACTGGGGTGAGAGGGTCTCTGCTTATTTGCAAGTTTGCCTCTAGTTGTGCTCCTACTCGCCAGTCTATTTTGCTGCTTCTGGTGGGTGATTCTTCCTGGATAGGTTCAGACCAGACACGCTGCCTCTTGCTCGAGGTCATCAGGCTCTTTTGTCTTTTCCTACCATCTCCTGCCCTGAAAGCAGCAGCTGGACTCCTGAAGAAGCAGCAGCTGGACTTCCGATACCTCAATGATGTCTTCATCTCCAGTTAACTAGACAGTCAGCTTCCTGCTGCAGCCCAGAGCATTCATCCCAGAGGAACTGTGATGAGGCCTTCCCTTTGATGTGTGCCTCGGGGAAGGGGAAGGTTTTTGAGGAATTTGTAGGGACAAAGACGATTTTTCATCATGTGAATTTCTAGTAAAAGGAAGTTCACATTCAAGAAAGGTTCTTATGTTCTCTGGTGGGACTGAAGCATGCCTTGGGAAAAAAATGAATCCTGCCATTTTAAGGCTGGAAGGAGCCTGAGGCCATTGTCAGACTGATTCTATTTTGCTTCTGTTTCCTCAGAAACCTCCAGTGACAGGGATCTCATGACTTGAGTGCTTTGAAAATGGAGATGACAAGAGAAGGCATCTGAAAGAAACACTTCCTTGCCGCTGTTGAATTATAGCTCTGTCCTATGCCTTTAGCAGGTGACTCCAACCAGTGTTAGCATCTGTACAATGGGAATGACAATAATGGACCCTAACGGATGGGTTATTGGGAAGGTTACATATGACAATGCAGTAAAACACTCTGTCCTGGCTGGTGCACAGGAAGGGAGTTCTCACCAAATGGTAACGGTTACTCTTTGGAGAAAATATTTTTCTGTTGTAAAATTATAGAAGTCTGGTCCCAGGGCAGGGCAGTTGCGAGGTAGGGGACAAGGGATGGAGATGGACAAACATAGCACCTGGGAATCAGGGACAGGGAGTGGCAGGAAGAAGCAGCCATCAAAGGGATCCTGTGGTGCCACCATTGACTAAGGGTAAGAGGGCCTTAAAGGTACTCTTAATTATTTATATTTATTCATTATATAGTTTATTATATATAATAATATATAATAAATATATATCACACAAATATATAATATATACATATATTATATGTATACTATATGCATAATATATACATATAGCACATGTATATATTATATAGATATATCCTATACAATATAATAAATTAGATATTATAACAAATTATAGTAAATACAATAAATACATATATTATATAAAAATATTATTATAATATTTATTATATTATTTACTATTATGTAATTTCTTAAGCTGTTACTTTTATGATCCAAAATCATTAAGGGATATAATTTATATTAAGCTATAACTCACATACCATATTTACCCTTTAAAAGTGCACAGTTCAGGGGTCTCCCTTGTGGTGCAAGAGGTTAAGACTGTAGAGCTTAAGCACTGTAGAGGTTAAGCACTGTAGAGCTATTCGCAGCCACTGCAGCACAAGTTCAATCCCCAGCCAGGGAGCTACCCACATGGCATCCTCCCTCCATGCAGGACTTACATGGGTCATATAGTAACTGTATTTAACTTTCTGAGGAACTGCTGAACTGCTCCACCACAGCCTGTGTCATTCTACATTCCCAGCAGCAATGTATGCAGACTCCAATTTTCCCACATCCTTATAATTATTTTTTTAAACAAAGACAGTTGGATCTTTTTTTTTTTTTTTTTTTTTTTTTAAAGAGGCATGTATATTTATTTATTTGTTTGTTTGTTTGTACATGCACTGGGTACAGTCAGAAGCGCAGGAGGGTGAGAGAATTCACCAGAGCCAGAGCAGGGAGTAGAGCAGGCAGAAGGACCGAAGTACACTGCTGAGGGGAGCAGCGGGCGGCAGGAGAGGTCTGCGCGCCATGTGGGACCCTCCTCCGGTGGCTGGGGAGCAGTCGGGGATCAAACCGGCGCCGCTGAGGCTGCGGGCAGCTTCGCAACCCAGCGCTCAACCGCTGCGCCACCAGGGAGGCCCGACAGTTGGATCTTTATAGCTGTCTGAGCTGGACCCCACACCTTCAGTTTCCCATCTAGAGACAGGGCAGAGGGCAGTAGAGCTTCATGCTTGGTTTATTCACTAGTCTCCCAAAAGATTCTCTTTCCTTTGGCCCCCAGCTCCCTGAGTAAGGAGACTTTCTTTCCCAGGGCCACCTCTAATGGCAGGCCCATCTCCAGAAGCAGCTCTCAGCGGCCTTTAACAATGAAATTTCTCTTCAGAAATGTGTTCAAACCATGGCTAAATAAAAAAGGAAAGAGAAGAGGACTTAATTTTATGTCTCCTTTCAGGGAATAATCTTGATTAATCATCAAAATCAGTCACTTGGATATCTTATTAAAATACCTATTTCCAGGTTCTTCCTGAGAGATTCTGATCCTATTGGCTTGGAATTCAGCCCAGGCAATCTGCATTTTTAACAAGTGCCTAGGGAGATTCTTGTGGTAAACCAAGTTGCAAAGTCTTGTATTATAGGGCCTCCCTGGTGGCGCAGGCAGTTGAGCGCAGCGCTGTGAAGCTGTCCGCAGCCTCTGCAGTGCCGGCTGGATCCCCACCGGCTTCTGAGCAATCCACATGGCGAGCAGACCTCTCCTGTCTCACCCACCGCTCCCCTCAGCAGTGTATTTCGCCAGTCTGCCTGTTCTGTTCCCCGCTCTGTCTCTGGTGATGCATCTGGCCTATACCCTGGCTCTTGAATAAATAATAATAAAAAAAGTCTTGTATTATATTCCTTATCCCCACAGCAAGTTGGCCCATTTTGCAGATGAGAAAGCCAAGGCTCAGAGAAGAATTACCTTGCCTCAAATCACAGTCAGCCCAACTTCCTCCAAACCCTATTATCTGTTCAACAACAGGACAGACACTACACCTACTAGCACAAGCCTGCAGAGCAGAGAGCCTCCCTCCATGCAGTACTGAAAATTCTGATGAGGACCTTGGCACATACACCCACCCCCATTCCTTTCCCTCATTCCCACTGAAGGTGGTGAGAATACCTGTTGTATTAATTTCCCAAGGCTGCTGTAACAATGGGCCTCAGGCTAGGTGACTTAAAACAACAGAAATTGATTCTTTCATAGTTCTGGAATTTAGAAGACCCAAATCAAAGTATCAGCAAGACGCCTTGTATGGGAAAGTGGGAATAATCTGCTCTATGCCTGTATGTTTTGTTATTTTCCAGTAATCCTTGCCATTCCCTGGCTTACAGCTACATAACTGTAATCTAATCTCTACTCCATTCTCAATGCTATTTCTCTCCCGTGTGTCTGTCTCTTCTCTTCTTACAAGAACAACCAGTCATATTGCATTAAGGGTCCATCCTACTGCGGTATGGACTCACCTTACATATTAACTATATCTGCAAAGACCTTATTTTCAATTAAAGTCACATTCACAGGTATTAGAAGTTAAGGCTTCAATATCTCTTTTGGCGGTGGGGGGGTGGGGAGCACAATTAAACCCACAATATCCATGATAATCAAGAGGTGTCAGAAACATCACCAGAACCCTCAATTCCAATGTACAAACCCAATCACCAAGGTGACCTCAGCTTTTTCAAAAAGCAGGTAGGACCCAGGGGTCCTGATGGGCAGAGGAGCTGTGGTGGAGATATGGGATGCTTTGGCCAGTGTCCATGGGGCTGGGCAGCTAAGGACTTTGATGTAACATCAGAGCAGCTTAGCAACCTGTCTCAGCCAGTCTTTATTCATTCATTCAACAGCTCTCTGTGGACTTCCTGTGTGTCAGGAGCTGGATAGGGGCAAGGTAGGCAGGATCCAATCAATCATGGTCTCTACCTTAGTGGGGTGACTGACAGCCAGAGAATACTACTGAGGGCACGGTAACAAGCAAAAGGTCTGTGCTCTAAAAAGAAACCTGCTGTCACCAAGGAGATCTTCCTGTGATGTTTTCCTCCTTCCTTCCTGTCCCCCTCCCTATTTTCTTCTCCTACTTCTTTCCTCCAAATCCCCTCAATTACTTGGGGAGGTGTTTTAACTCTTAAGTGAAAGTGGGGGCCACTGCGCCCCCAGTGGCCAATGCAGGCATAGCAGCGGTTCAAACGGCAGCCCTAATGGGGTAGGGGTAGCCCCTGGAAGGGGCATTGGTGGGAGTGTCTGACTCGGGTCTTCTCCTATGCAGTGAGCATGCCCTGGTAGCTTCATGGCCAATGGACAACCGCTCCTAAAGCATTTGCCAGTTGGAAGCTGTGTGTTGGGAGCCTGCTGCCCTGCAGGGAGCTGGAGTTTTGGGAGAGCACCTGTTTACTCCCATACGGAGTTCCAGGACGTTAGAAGTTCTGCAAACAGAACTTCTTCCCAGAATTGACTCCTATTCTCTGAGGACGTGCTGGCTTCTGGGCAGGTTCCCTACTACCAGGAAAACTTGTTTTCAGCAGTAACTTATTAATCTGTATAAGTAGAAAAACAATTGCATGCTATTTTCTTGTTCCTTTGTTCATATCTTCAATAAAAGCTTGGGCTGGGAGAGTGAAAGGCAGAGCTGCTCTCCATGGCTCTCTTCCCAGCCTCTCCCCATTGCAAATTCATTTAGATTCTGAGTCTTTGTTAATTGCAGAGAACGTCATCGGCTGTCCTGTCTGCAGCAGCTGTGGACACCCATCCCCCAATTCTGCCATCCCACCCACTCCTGCAAAATATCTCTCTTGTTTGGCTTACATGGCATGTCCCCTGGGGTACAGGGGACCATGAAGGCAAGACAAATCCTGGCCAGGTTAGGGTTAATGACATAAGGAAAGCCCTCCTCTGTCATGGCTGTAATGGCAGTGAAATCATACCAAATCTATGCCCATCTCGGTTGCCACTACCACTGTTCTGTCTCTTACCTCCATGTAACCTCTGGGATCCACTTAGACCCTCTTCAATCTACCTCCCACCTTTACAGGGGTCAGAAGGATCCTTCTCAAATTCCATCAGACTTGGGCACCCTCTGGCCAACGTTGGCCACCCATTTCCTTCAGAGAATCATATCGAATCTTTTAGCGTGAACTTTGAACATCAAACTTGAGCATATTATTTAGCATATGTTTCATGTCATTTGTATTTTATGACAGTCTCTGTTCCCAGCTATTCTGATTTTAGGACTTTAGAGGGCAGGGATCTTGTCTGTATTGTCATACTTCTACCATAATTTTCCCAAATGTATTTTTTAATTTTTATTTATACATACAAGAACAGGGGTACAGGCCAGAGGTGTGAGGGGTGAGAGGCAGAGATAGAATGGGGAGCAGAACAGGCAGACTGACTGGAATGCTCTGCTGAGGGGAGCAGCAGGGAGACAGGAGAGGTCTGCTGTGCCATGTGGGTAGCTTCCTGGCTGGGGATTGAACTCGTGCTGCAGCGGTTGCGAATAGCTTCACAGTGTTGCTACTTAACCCCTTGCGCCACCAGGGAGGCCCTCCCCAAATGGATTTTGTGTAACCTGGGAGGGTATGCCCTCACTGCCACCCCTAATGCGGAAGTACCCCAAGGAAGCTCCAGGCCAAAGGTCACTCTTGGAAAGAGGGGATCTCAAGGGGACTTCCCAGTCTCTCCCACTCTCCCACTAGTTAGCTCCCAAGGTGAACCATATTTAAGCTCTCCCCTAGCCCTAACCCCACCCCCACCCCTGGATTTCTCAGGTTCTCATGTCAGCCTTGGGGTGGGTGTACAGAGACATCGGTCATCTTTCTTTGGAAATTGCTCCTGGGACAAAAGGGTAGGAGGATGGATCAGCAGGGAGTGGTGGGGAGCTCTGTGGGCTGGGTTCCAATGGCACCCTCCTATCGAAAGCCAAGCCAGGAACCAAACCTTCTGGGATGGAGTCAGGGGCAGAGTAGAGCTTAACGACCTGCTTTCTGGCTTGGGAGGCGGAAATTCAGCCTACCGTGGGGGAAGATTTAGGCTCGGAGGGTGGAGAAACAGCATGCTCTTTTCTCCCCATGCTCCAGGATTTGTTTCTAGGCTGGAAGGGGACATACCTGAACTGATTCATCAAAAAGAAAGCCTGTGCAGCGCCCCCATCCTGACAAGCCTCTGCGTGCACAGACCTGGTAAGCCTCAGAACTAGTGGTCTCGGAAAGCAGCCCTTTCCAGAAGGAAGAGTAGATTTTCCTTAAGCGTCACTACGCAGAACATTGTCCAGTTTTTAGCACTGACTTCACACGTGCAAGAACAGGACCAGCGCAGGGCACTTTAGTTGTCAGGATAGTTTTTTTCCCACCCTTCTCGGGCAACTTCAGAGTTAGACAGAAACACCCACCCCCCAACCCCATCCCCTTAGCCATCCCCAGAGACTCATCAATGAGCAAGAAAATGGGGGGGGGGTGGTGGCAACCGATGCTAGCATCTGGATGGCAGGGCTCACTGATCCAAAGTTCAAGTTGAGATAAGGGGGTGGGAGACTCCCTGAAGGCCCCTCCTGTCAGCTGCAGAAACCTACCTCTAGTCACCAGCCAAAGGGTTTATGTCAGGGTCCTGCCGGCTAAGTGACTTACAATTCTCTCCTCCTTCCCAGGGATGCTATTGATTTGCATGGGTGGGATCTGATTCTGAGATCCTGGGGCTATTGCAAGAGTTCTCACTCGCTAGATTTCTCCCAGCACATGGCATCCCCCTCCCCCCAGCTGATTTGGAGTTGGGCAGAAAGGCTTAAGATGCTGTTATCTCTCAACAGTCAGCTGTGCAGGGCTGAAGGCAGCGGCTTATCAGGGCGCCTGCAGTGATTCACAGCCCAAGTTCCAGCTTCTCTGCTGAATAGTAATTTCCAGCAGTGGATTTGTGCTCCGTTTCTCTCCTCCCCCTCTCCCAAGGGTGTGCTGTCCTTTCTCAGAGAGAGAAAGCTGCCAAGGGGTGATCCTATCCATGGGGATGGGGGCTTTGTGCCAGCCTTCTGGACAAAGCTCATTCGATTGGCAGGAGGCTGCAGGTTTAGGGGCCCCAGCAAGGGCTGCCACCCTTGGCAACCCCCACCCCAAGTGAGTTCATGGATGCTCCTACCTTCCCCTCCCAGAGCATTGTGCGACTCCATTTCCCTTAGTGGCAACACACAAGGGGACACAGGCCCTTTCCAGCCACAAGCTGCAGGCTACAGCGTGCCAGGGAGGTTGGGGAGAGAAGTCAGGTACTGGGCAATGCGCCCCCTGCACCACTTAGAAGCTCCCATGCAGTAGACTCCAGTGGCAGAGGGCAAAGGAGGGAATGAGACACAAGGGGCAGGCCGGAGCAGCCTCTGCACAGGCAAGTAGGAAAAAACCTGGGGACAGAGCCATTTGTGTTTGTTTTATTGAAAGCAAGACTTCAGCTGCTGGGCTGGGGCTGGAGCAGGCATGGAGAGTTCTGTCCTGGGTCTCTCCCTCCGACCAGCATGTGCAAAGGGGGATGCTAGGGGCTGGAGTTCCTGGGCACGCCCCTGCGCCACAATCTCGGGGAGTTAAACTAGAAACGGCGTCCTGGGGTGTGGGGTGGCATCCGGACTCCCCCAACTCAGACTCCCCCTGCCCTCAAGCAGGTTCCTCACCCCTGTCCCCGGCTGCCAATGCTGGGGGAGGTACTTATCAAGAGCTCTCCCCCGACCCCCTCACGCATGCTGGGTGCCTGGAATTCTTGGGGGCCGTGAGAAAGGTTCAAGACGCCCCCGGCCCACCACTGCCTCCTGAAGAAGACTCCAGCATGGCTCAGAAAAGCCGAAGGAAGAGTTCTGAGTCTTTAGGCAACACCGGTGGAGGAACAGCCGCCCCACGAGGCTGCCCCGCGACCTGTCCTCGCCCTCGGGGTCCATGTGGCCAGTCTGGGGGGCCGCGTCCAGGCGGGGGGGCTCCAGAGGAGCAGGCGGACAGGCTGGAAGCGCGTCTCAAGGTCAGGGCGCCGGAGCTGGGCGCCGGGCGTCCTCAGCGCGCGCGGTCCTCCGGCGCCGGGTCTGGCTGCGGCCGCGCCCGCTTGGCCGCGCCCTCTCCGGCCGCGGGGTCCCCCCGCCTCCTCTTGGCCGTCGGCGCGGCGGGCGGGGCCGAAGGGCCGGGCAGCGGGCTCGGGGGCTGGTAGCCGGGCTGGCGCGGGTCCAGCGCGTCCTTGGAGAGCAGGATGGCGAGGCCGGGCACGTTCTTGAGCACGCTGAGGCTGGCGGCCGGGCCGGGCGCGGGCCCGGGCGGGCGGCTCTGCCACTCCTCGCGCACGCCGCGGTAGCGCAGCCGCGTGACCTGGTGCAGGCCGGCCAGGCGGCGCTTGAGGATCTCGGCGCACGTGACGGCCTTGGTGGAGGCCCGGCCGCAGCCGCTGAAGACGATGGCGCGCGTGGCCGGCTGCGCCATGCTGGCGGTGGCGAAGGCCAGCAGGTTCCGGATCTTGCTGCCCTCCTTGACCCGCATGTGCACGGCGCCCGGCGCCAGGTCGGCGAAGGGCCCGTCCCCCCCGGGGCCGCCCCCCGCCGGCGCCTCCTCGGAGCGCACCTTACGGAAGTTCTCCATGCGCCGTCGCTGCGGGGCCGCGGGCCTCGCCACGGGCGCCTCAGCCCCGGGGCTGCATGGCCGCGGGGCGCGCCCGGCCGGGCTGGCGCGCGGGGCGAGCGGGGGGCGCGGCGCGGACGCCGGCGGCCGGGTAGGGCGCCCCGAGCGCCGCCGCGCTCCCTCCAGCGGGCGAGGCTCCGCTCGGCTCTCCCCGCGCGGGCGCTCCCGCCTGGAGCTGAGGCCCCGCCCGCGCCGGCGCCCCGCCCCGGCCCGCCCCGGCCCGCCCCGGCCCGCCGCCCCGGCCTCCCGGGGGTCCCGGCTGGGCGGCTGGGGGCTGGGGGGCGCGGTTCCTCCCGAGCGCCCTCCGCCGAGCCCCACCCCCGCCAAGCCCCGGGAGCGGGCAGCTCGCCTAGAGCCGCGTCTGCGGCGCAAAATGCCACCTGGAGCCGGTGCCCGGTCCCCGCACGCTCCAGCGCGAGGCCGCGCCGCCCCTCCCCAGCAGAGACTCCGGGAGCCCTGCTGGGGCATCTCCCACCGCTCGGGGGAGCGACCTGCCCCGCCGCCCTTGGCCTCCCCTCCCCAGAGGGCGATCTCGCCTCCAGGGCAGCCCCTGCGTGGGCGGCGCCAGCGGCGGCTCCACTCCCGCGCGTCCCGGAGGACTGCGTGGCGGCGAGGGCCTGCGGGGCTCCGGGAGAAGGGGCGCAGCCTCGCCACCCCGGAACGGAACGCCAGGCTCGGGGCCCGGCACACCCCCGCGGGCGGCGGGCGCGTCTTCGCGGAGGTGGAAGAGAAGGTGATCCTTTCTCCGGGGCATCTAACTGCCGTCACCCTGGCCTGCAAGGCCACTGCCAGGGCTGCACGCTTCAGGGCGCGCTGGGCATGGCTCCCTGCCAAAGTGCATCTCCCGTCTTCCCAGGCGGAAAGCATTATTAGTCAGCCTTGCCTCCCCGACACCCAAAGGGGCCCTTTTGCAAAAAGATTGGTCGAGGGTGGGTTTTGAGAGAGAGAGAGAAGGGGGGAAGTTGAAGCCTCGGGGGCATTACGCAGCGACTGCGCACCCCTCTCCTGGAACTCCTTGGGACCGAATGACCCGGTGTCCTGCCGGGAGAGGCGAGCAGTGGAGAGAGAGGTGAGGTTGCTGTCCAAAGATTTGCAGATGGGCGGGAGGGGGTTGAGAAGGACCTGGGCTCTCCCCAGAAGTGCCATAGGGGCGGCCATTCTTCCGTCCACAATACCCCCCCAACACACCTGCCCACGCGCTGTCAGAACCGAGGGGGTGGGGCAAACCTAATCCGAGTGGGGTGACTAGGGTGGGTCATGGTGGGAAGTGCCGCGAGCTGGGGTAGCGGGGAACCCTGAAAGTGCCGGGACATGACAATTCTGGGGGAGCCGGGCCCCCCTTTTCGAGTGGAACAGGGGAGGTCTCCCACTCTCTTCGTCACGACTGTCCTCGCCTCTTCAGCACCCTGTAATTCCCAACTCTTGGCCCCAGCTGCTTGGAACCTCGGACTGAACACATCACCGCCCCTTGGTTGTCTGGAACAGGTGCGCCTTGGTGCGCCGACGCATCAGCGACTGCCCCCCCTCCCTGACCTTCTGCTCCCACCCTGGGATCGGGGTCTCCGACCGCGATCTGGTCCGACGCGCAACAGCCACTGGAGCCGGGGGCTGAAGCGCTCTGGGCGCGCGGTGGGGCGCGAGGAACTCGGGCTCTGCAAGGCCGAGGGTATTCGTGGCACTGACGGGGCAGCGGTGGCACCTGGGCCAGAAGGAAATCTGGGCACGCCTGCCCGGTAGCGTCGTTGGAACCGGTTGCTGAGGAAAGAACCGAGCCCTCGAGCCCTGGGGTGTGCGCGCCAGGGCTGAGCGTTCCCTCGGAGGGGCTGAACGCCGGGCCTCGCAGTTTGGAGGACGGGACCCGGGAGCCCCGGACAGGCCTAGGTGAGGGTGAGGTGGTTCTGAGCCTGGGGGGCTGGCCCTGGGCAGTGCCGCCCGCCATACTCTCCACCCCCCGCAGCGGCCGGAGACCTCTCTGGGCTCCCCCGCGGTGGAGGAAGCGCGTCCAAGAGGCGCGCACCCCCTCCCGCGGGCCCCCTCCGGCCGGCTCCCCCCGCGGCACTTGAATGTAAATGCGCAGCGGGATGAGCCGCGGGGTCGCTCATTACCGCCGAAGCCATTCATTAAGCTGTCAGCGCGCTGGGGCTCGCCGGCTGTGCGCGCCCGCGGGGCCCCGAGTGGCGGGTGGGGAGGGGCGCGGGCAGGGAGCCGGAGGGGAGCGGCAGGGGGCCGGGCCGGGCTGGAGAGGGGGGTCTGCGAGTGAGGGTGGCGAGGTTAGCTGGGAGGGACCGGTGGGGGGCCACGGCCCGGCTAGGGGTGGTGAGAAGAGCGCCCGGCGGGCCCAGGCGGGGTGGCGCGGATACCGGGAGCAGGGCGGTAGGAACGGGGAAGGGGTGGGGAGTGGGGCGCAGGGAGGAGCGGGGCTGGGGGAAGTGGGAGGCTGGGAGGGGAGGGGAGTGTTCGGTCCTCGGAAGGTAAAAATACTCAGGCCCGCGGCGCCTGGCACACTCGCGTGGCCGTCAGAAGCCTGGCAAGACAGGCTAGGCCGTCTGGTGGAGGATGGAGTGCCAGCCAATACACGGTAGGACCGCGGGTATTTTAAGGTCTCTTTCCATTTGCATTTATTGATGTACACGTATTTTTAACTTATCTGCAAGAAAATAGCACCCTGCCTCTGTTACCTCGGGGGCCACACCCAGTTTTGTGGACCTCTTTGTAAAAAGAACGACTAAATAGGAATATGAAATTAAGTCGAGTCTTGGAATGGCCTGTGCAGGTGAGGCGCTGACCTTGAAGCCTGTGTGACCTTGGGCAATTTACTTAATGCCAATACGTTGGTTTCCCCAGCAGTAAAGTGGGGCTAACACAGGAGCCTGCCCTCATAAGGTGGTGGTGGGACGCCTGACAGTCTCAGCAGCTCAGCTGGTAAGTACTTAGGGAATGTTGACTAATATTATTCACGAAGTATTTGTGATTAAAATTTTAAAATTTAGGAAAGGCAGTTGAGGGGGAAAGAAAGCTGGGAGAAAGGAAAGGAAATAGGGGAAACCATGGAAATTGCAGTTTTTTAAATATGTCAGGGGCTAGTGAGTGGCAACGAAGGCACCTTTTCTCCTCAGAAAAGCAGGTGGTGAGATTATTTGGCTGGAGCCCAAGCCTGCTCAGTGCACACCAGCTCCTGCTCTGCAGAGGTGCTTGGGACCTTCCTAGCAGTAAAGCCACCCCTGCACACAGGTCTCCTCTCCCCCCAAGACTGGGAGAAAATCCTTGGCAAGAGGGCAGCTCTTCTATTCCTCTGTCTCCAATGCACAGAAGATAAGCCCTCAAAGCCTGGTCCTATTGCCAGCCTCTCAGGGTGATGAGAAAATATATTATTGAGCAAATGAATATAATAAAGATTCCAGCAGAACTCCAGCCCAGGTGCAATGAACAGTGCAATGCAGCATAATTAACAAGCTTGCTTACTTACAGCTCTTTCCTTTTAAAGATTCATGGCTGGGACTTCAGCACTCCTAGCTAAACAAAGTTGCATTTCAAAAGCCTGGGGTAGCCAGTCCAGCTGGTCTGTCTCTCCAAGGCCATCTCAGAGTGTCTGCATCTTTCCCCCTTTGCCTGTCCTCGCCCCCTTGTGCGGGGACTTTGCAGCAAATGGTTGTGCCTGCTGAAAAACAATGCCATCAATGTAACAAATATGAAGACAGTTATAGGAACCCTAAACTCAGGCTCAGACCTTACAAGGGGCTACCCAGGTCTGGGACCTCATGCATGAGTAATAAAGCTTTTCCTGACCTCACTATTCCTGAAGTACTGCTTGTTCTTCCTCTGCCTGGGTAAAAGGCCAGAATTTCTATAATACGCAGAATGCATGGGAAGAGGAACTGGAATTCCTGCAAGGGAATGAGGAACTGGAAAGGGGGCCAGAGGGAACGCTCCTGAGGGAACTCTTTCATTGGGCACCACCAAGTACCCAGCATTGGGTCAGGTCCTCTCCCAGATGTATCCCCTGATTTAATTATCACCACTTTTCTTTGCATCATTGCTTGGCAATATGGAAACTGAGACCTAGAGAGGTTAAATAACTTGCCCAGTTTGCTACAGCTAGAAAGCAGCACCTGCAGATATTTGAATACTAGTGTTTGACTCTGTAGTGGCAGGATAGGCAGAGCGCAGGTTTTCTGATACAGCAGACCAGTAAAGGAGAGTCCTGGAGCCCTCAGTGGCTTTCTCGGGCTTTTATTGAGCTTTACATGTAGTGTAGCAAACAAGTACACTGTACCTAGGTAAGCCTTCACTCTGGGCTTCTCTGGACTTCTTTCTCCCCTTCTCTCTGCTGCCTCTTCTGCTTCTCTCTGACTATCTCAATAGTCCTCCCTTGGCCCACAGAAGTAAGCAACACAACAATGTAACCACTGTGGGTGCCCCAAAAAGCAGGGCAATCCTAATGCTGGGAGGGCAGAAAAGCCTGAAAATCATTTATCCTACAGACTCATTTTACTACTTTGCTCGACTTACTTAGAGAAAAAGAGGGCCTCCCTGGTGGCTCAAGGAGTTAAGCAACACACTATGAAGCAATTCAATGCCAGTGCAGTGGGCATTGGATCTGGCCAGGGAGGTGACCCACATGGTGCAGCAGACCCTCTCCCCCTGCTGCTCCCTTTGTTACAGGACAGGGTGAGGGGCATCCCAGACCCTGCAAACCTGCCTGCTCTAAATAGGTTCTGCCATCCCTCACATCAACACAAAACATGAGACTTTAATGAAAGGGAACTTTAATACAATTAGGAAACAATACAGGAAAGGCAAAGAATCTAGTTTCTCAATCAAGCACCCAAAGTTACCCTTCCCCTCGTGGGTAAAAGTCCACCCAAGCAGGATTGGCCCAGAGCAAGGCCCCAAAGCCTGCCACAAGTCCAAAGCATCTTCCAGTGGGGACCCACAGAAAAAGGTCAGAAACAACCAGACAG